GTGGCCTGAAGTGTGGTGAGTGGGTGAGTGTTTGTGTGGGTGATTGTGTGTGGGTGAGTGAGTGGGTGAGTGAGTGGGTGAGTGCGTGGGTGAGTGCGCCTGTGTGTTGTGGCCTGTAGTGTGGTGAGTGTTGTGAGGGCGCGAGCGAATGTGCCTGTGTTGTGGCCTACAGTGTGGTGAGTGGGTTAGTGTTGTGAGTGGGTGTTTGCCTGTGTTGTGGTCTAAATTGTGGCGAGTGGGTGAGTGTGTGTTGTGGCATGCAGTGTGGTGCGTGTGCCTGTGTGTTGTGGCCTGCAGTGTGGTGAGTGTTGTGAGTAAGAGTGTCTGTGTGTTGTGGCCTGAAGTGTGGTGCGTGTGTCTGTGTGTTGTGGCCTGCAGTGTGGTGAGTGTTGTGAGTGAGTGTGCCTGTGTGTTGTGGCCTGCAGTGTGGTGAGTGTTGTGAGTAAGAGTGTTTTGTGTGTTGTGGCCTGAAAAGTGTGGTGGTTTCAGGCAGTCTGGATGAGATGGCGGAATCTGGTAAACAGTTTCCTCCAACGTGGGCGAAAACAAACAAAAAAAAGAACGAGTTAAGTTGACCGCAATAGCAACAACCGTGGTTGTAGAAGTAGACGATGGGATAAGGAGGCGGCTGAGCTTGAGTGGCCCAGAGTGAGGCGGCCAGCTCTGGATCATCAACGAGCCCCATTGCTTCACTCGCTCGTCTCGGACGAGGCCCGAACTGGTTTGCCGCATTCCAAACACGGCAAGTATTTGAACTTTGGCCGAATTTCGTGCTCGTGTTCGGTCGCATTTTTTTCGTCTTCTTTTCGTCCAAAGCAGCGAGCAGCCTCGCCACTCAATTGTAATTAAATATGAGAATGGTTTGTGTAACAATTTATGGCAATAGAACAGTTGTGTTAAGATGCTGAAACACCAAGCAGAAGCCTCCTGCGAGGAATCACGTTATAGCATGAACCACGCATACGTGTGGCGAACAAGCAAACACAAACGCGCCCTGGTGGTATATGGTGCAGTCTTTTGAAACTGATTTGGTCCACACAAGAGACGGCTTTCTTTACAGCTTGTCTCAAACATAGGTCCCATGATCAACTGTAATCGTTTAATCGGGGCCATTACCAATCCACCGCTGGATGAAGGCCTTCCCCAAGCCGCCGTCTTAACGCGGTACCGTGCCGCGTCACGATTCGCCGAGCTCCTCGGAAGCTGCTCGCCCACACCGCTTCAGAAGCTTCAGAAGCGGTGTGCGGCTGCTCCGTGCCACGCGACTTCAGCTTGCTCATTCATTCTCCCCTCTCATCAACGAACCCCCCTCCCCCCCATATTTTCCCATAGGCCCTTATTTAAAAACCGAATCCCCACGATTGGTGAGGGGTTACTAAATAGCTCAGTGGGCCTCACCTGGTTACAATATAGTTTTTAGTTTATGGCGGTGGTGCTTGCCCATGCATTCTCCCTCTTCCCTTCCCTCTCATCACCCCCCCCCCCCACCACTATTTTACCGGAGCCTCTGTACTTCACTACCCGCGGATTTTGGCTACCACGGCCTTATCCAGGAATCTCACCGCACGGTTAGTGAGGGATTACAAAATATCTCAATGGGCCTTACGTGGTCAAATATATCATTAGACCTCCTTTGCCAGTACCAAAATGTAATAATAGGATTTTTCCCCTTTTTTCTGGCAACAAAACTGAAACCTTTTCACAAGGATTCATGTTACTGAATTAACCACAATACCTGCAGTCAAAATGCAAACAAACAAAAAACATACTATGATAATATATGCATTGTCCTTGAAACTGATTGGTCCACACCAAGGGACGGCTTTCTTTTGAGCCTCGACCCAATTGGTGCTCGAGCACCAGTTTCAAGGACAATGCATATATTATCATTGTTTTTTTTTGCTTTGACTGCAAGTATTGTGGTTAATGCAGACATGAATCCTTGCTTTGACTGCAAGTATTGTGGTTAATGCAGACATGAATCCTTGTAAAAAACGTTTCAGTTTTGTTGCCAGAAAAAATGGGAAAAACCCTATAATTATGTCAATATAGTTTATAGCGGTGGTGCTTGCTCATGCATTCTCCCGCTCTTCTCTACCCTCTCATCATCACCTACCCCTTCTATTTTCCCATAGGCCCTGTACTGAACCAACCGCAGATTAGCCTACCACGGCCTTATCCAGAAACCTAACCCCCCCCCCCCCCCCCCCCCGGTTTGTGAGTGATTACTATAAAGCTCAGCGGGGACTCAGTGGGCCTTACCCAGTACAATTTTTTTAGTTTATAGTGTTCCCCGAAAACCCTAAAAAGCAACGGAATTTTTTGAGAGCCGCATTTGTGTGCCAGTTTGTCAGCCTTCTCCCGCACCTCCGACGGACACGGTTTGGCCGCGTACGGCGCACAAGACAACTCATCCCCGACATCTCGGCGCCGTCATTCTTTCTCCGCTTCCCGGCGCTCTTTCCCAATGCTGCTCATCTTGAGCACTTTCGTCGATCTGTCCATCTTGGGGACCTCCGTGTCCACTGCATCCCTTTCTCTTCCCGCTCTCTTTTTCCACGCCTTCTCTTCCCTCCCCTCTCATGATCACCCCCCCCCCCCCGTCTCTCATCGCCGACACCTCGACTCTCTCTATTCCACCACTTCCGGTGTGCCACGGGTGAAAAGTTGTATCTGAACTACGGGCGTGCTGTTTCAACACGCGCGCGCGCAAAAAAAACCGACAGCTTACATTGGCAAGAGCGCACGCCTGTAATAATTTATTGGCAAGCCAAGGAACTAGGGCTCCCAGGAGCCTTGCATCAGGTCCAGTATTCAAGCCGACAGTGTCACATTGTTTATAAAGACCCATAAATACAAAAAAATAAATACTTCATCTTAAAATGGTATTAAGGGTCTACGACTCCGCGACTTACAAAAACAGAATACGGAGTGGTTCCCTAGATCGAGCGCAGTGATGCAGAGAGGGAGGCCCTGTTACAGATCGAGGTTATAAGGGCAAAGCTTTTAACGTCTCTATCATTTTTTTCTTTCGTTTTGGCCGTTAGATCAACTGGAGTAGGTGGCTGCGGTGGCTGGCAACGTGAATAGCCGTAGCCACAGGCATTGCTTCGTCGTAAAAGCTGTTTGATTTCAGCGGCCGCCCTGGTTAATTGCTGTGCGTGTGTATCAACCGTAATAATCCCGTGGCGGCCGTAAAAAAAACGACACACACACAAGGTGCCGCGACGTTCTCAAGAGTGGAGAGGCCACGAGTTTCCTGGCACCGTGCTACAAATTTGAAACTCAAGTCCAGAAAAATTGCCGAGTTGGGATAAAATCAGGTAAGCGACGCGGCCATCTACTGGCAGACGATGCTACGCGCCTGAGAAACATCGGACCTTCGCGATAGCCTTTGTGCACTTAGCATGGCGGCGACTGCCATGTGCACGCTAACGCTTCCATTGCGGGCAGAAAGATAAACTGGATGCGGTTGTGCCGGTTTTCTTGAAATATTTTTCCCGGGTCGCTGACCTCGACAGGGGGTTCTCATTCAGTGCTACACCTTGAGTGGGGGGGGGGGTGGATGGATGGGGGAGGGGTCTCACCCCAGCTCTGCAGGCGACCGCTGCCCAAGCCGCGGCACCATTACCCTAGCCCGAACTTTGAACCGGGAAGCTCTCTGCATCACCGCCGCTTGTACGCAGGCACGCGCGCCCCCCCTCCCCAGCTCGATTTTATGAACCCTTGGTGCATGAGCTTGACAACCAAGTGCTATTTCACAATGACTGGCGTCGACATTGTAAGGGCTGGCGGTGTCGTCGACGACGACGACCTGCAGACGTTCAGTCAGGCCTTGGTTAGACCCGTGTGGATTTCTTTTTTTCTGTTAACGACGGATGAAAGACCCGACCTCGAATTACCACGCAGGTTCGTCACCGATTCAGCTCGCACTTGGCGGCAAGGAGGTCGGGACGCCCAATAAAATCGGTTGCGTAAAAATGATCCCACCCTTGATGTCGGGTTCTGTAAAACACGGCACCGTTCTAATCTTATCGCGGGGGGTGCCGTCCACCAGCACGCAAACTACAATATGGCCACGGGGCACTGCAACGCCTTCCCGACGGCTCTCGGGACGCTGCTCGGGAGGGACGGGGCGAGGGTTGTGCGACGTCCCCCGTCGCTCCACGTGCTGGGGAGATTCTTCGGGAGTTAATTCAATAATTTGTGCTCTCCGAAAGACGCTGCCCCCCCCCCCCCCAGCACCATGTAACCCGATGTGGGGGCGGGGCCCAAACATCCCAACGCTGAACAAAAAACCATCCTAATTACCTCCTAATTACTCAGTTGGGATGACACGCAGCAGCAGCATTGTGGCCCCTTGTGTGGAAACTCAGCAGGACCACCCCCCCCCTGCCCCACCCCACCCCTTTTGAATAAAGAACCTTGAGAATTCCGCCAGGACTTTCGCACGCACACACGCACACACACACATGCACACACACGCACACACACGCGCACACACACATGCACACACACATGCACACACGCACACACACGCACACACACATGCACACACGCACACACACACGCACACACACACGCACACACACACGCACACACACACGCGCGTATGTGCACACACACACATGCACACACACACGCACGCACACACACACGCGTGGCGGCGAAACGTTGCACGACACGCGTCAGCGGCACAACCCGGACAGCACAACGCGGGAGAGTTGCGCGGCACGACCGAGAAATCCTCTGCAGCGTTTCCTTGCACCGATTCCTTGCACCGACGTTCCAATTCGGGTAATCAAGTTCATGGCCGGAGACCGCACAGAGCGCGGGCAAGGGGTGGGTGGGTGGGGATGGGGGGGGGCGCTTTTAGCACAAAGGGGGGGGGCACAGCATTTAACGTAAACGCTGCCCCGCCCCGGTCAGTGATTTCGCTGCGTCAACGGCAAACACGATCGCTACTCGTAACAGCCTCTCCGTGGTCGCCACGGTTGTTTGGCGCGGGGCCCGAGATTCTCGGCGCGCGGCAAGTCGTATGGCAAACAGCATTCCGAGCAATGCGGGCAGCGTGCCGCGGTGTCGAAGAGCCGTGCGCCAAATGGCGTGGTAAACAGTGCGCCGACCGGCGTGTTGCGGTGTGCCGGGGGGGGGGGGGGGGGGAGGGGGGGGGGGGTTAGTGGTGTGGCGCTCGCGGTTGGGACGGCGCGCGACCGACACCGCCGCCGCGCGCATGCGCCGCACCCTGTAAAGTCACCGCCTTATCGCCGTACAACCGCACCGGCCGCGGCTTTGACGCCACGCCAACCGCACCGCGCACCGTGCCGGCGACCGCCTTGACGCCGCGCCGAGCCGAGCCGGGTGCTCGCGGGAAAAAAAACTTCCCCGTGGGCGTGGGGGGCTCGCCGTGGCCGGCGCCGTGAGCCTAGAACGAAGTCCCGGTGGCTGCGGCCGCCCCCGAGATGGCGCTCTTGAGCTCGTGCATGCTGCCGCACGCCGTCGCAGCCAGCTCCTCGATCTCCACGTTGATCTTGCCAATGACCCACTCCATCGCCTCGCGGCCCTGCGAGACGCACGCCGTCGACACACACACACGCGCACACACACACACACACCGCCATCACCGCGGCAGCCACCCCCCACGGCAAGGCGTTAGCAACAGGCGGGCTCTGTGTGTTTGCGCGCGTTTGTGTTTCGCGCGTCTTGCATGTACGCGCGCGTGACGGCGAATGCGTGCAGGCGAATGTGCGAATGTGCGTCCGTGTGTCGCGCGCGTGCGAGCTTGTGCGTGCGTGCGTGCCACCTCCGCCCCCACCTAACAACACTCGCGCGCTCGCGGGGGTCCTAATCGTTTTAAGGCGGTTCTCGTTAGGCGCAGGCCAATCGCCGGCAGCGCCATACCAACCAGGGCTTTCAACTGCTTTGAACCGGACACGGACGCCTGATGACGCAAACGTGAAAACTGTGCTTTGAACGGCGGTCGTCACTCCACCGTTTTAAATTGTAACACTTTGTTGGAGTATTGCGTCATAATGATCATCATTAGGGAGGGAGGAGGGGGGGTAACATTACCCCCAAAACCCTCCCTCCGCCCCCCCTCCCTCCTGCTTCCCTCCCACCCCAGCGATTCGCCAATTTGTCCAGATTCGATTCCGAGTTAACGTTGAGGTGGACGCGGGCAGCTCGTCCAGAGACCACATTCAAACTGCACCAATCGGGGAACGTCAGCAACACCTTCCTAAAGGCGACGGTGAAGCAATCACTCCTGGGAAAAGGGGGGGGGGGGGCAGGTGGGGGGGGAGGCTGGTATAATTCTGGGTATCGGCGAAGGTGGCGGTGACAAGATGGAGGAGGCCACATGGGTGGGACACTGGACAAGGCAAGAGCTCGGGACTGGGTTCACTGGGCGCATGCGGGAGACGAACGCCTCTTTTTTCCACCATCACTTCCAAGCTGTGCCAGCGCGGGGCCATCACGGCAAGGGGTGGTTTTTCCACTGCCGAGGCGAACCGAACCGAGCAGGCCTTGCGACGACAAGTTTAAATCAGACTCGGGGCCGAGCAGGGCCAGCGTCTGCGCTGTCTGCGACGTTAGTGGCATGGTTCGGCTACGGCAGTGGAAAAACGGCGCCGGTGCCGAACGAGCCACACCGGGGGCTGGCTCGGCATGGCACCGGCGTGGTTTGGTTGTGCGGTTGAAAGAAAGAAAAAAAACAAAGAGGTAAACGGTGGAGCGTTGCAGAAGGAAGCCTCATGCACATCCATAGAAACAGGGCCCCGCCTCCAGTGGGCAATGGCGAGATGTTAACTACCTCGCCTGGTATGCAGGAAGGTCGTGGAGTCTGCATGTTCTCCCCATGGTAATTCTCTGGGTGCTCCCATTTTCCCCTCCAGATTTAGAAACATACGTTAAGAGTATTTGACTGCTGTAAATTTCCACGTGATAAGCCACTTTTTGTTCAGCAATCATTTGTGATAGCCAGGTCGTTTCAGAAAAAGAGCAAATATAGCTCAGTGGGGCCTTTACCTGGTAAAATAAAATGTTAATACATTTTATTAAACAGATCCCCAGGGATCAATCATTTCAGCTGGGTGTGTCCCGGGTCGGTGAGCATGAGTTTTTCCTTACCCAGCACACCGCATCCAGAACAAGCTCTCACTATGGCTGCGGCCACCACTTTACGAGTTAAGCCGCGCGCCACCGACCGGAAGCCTATAAAGCGACCCGACAAAAAATTGTCGGCGAGCAAATTGAAACCAACAGATGTACACACCGAGGTCCGAACGCTCGGGTTAGAGGACCCATCGATTTACACGGCCTAAATTTCCGCCAAGCCTGTGCGGACAACAGTTCTGCAGCGGTCACACCTCGCGCAGCATGCCGATTGGTCAAGTGCCACCTACTCCTCCAGTTAAATCTGTCAACGACCTGGCGCACCTATTCACTTTGGACAAATTAAGCCCCGAGACTATCACAAGAAAGCATGGAAGGGTGGCAGCGACACTGCAGATAAAGCAACTGAGCGAACCTTCTGCCCGCACACACTGCACACGAGCGTACACACCACACACGCACGCGCACGCTACAACACACACACGCGCGCACGTGCGTGCAATAACTACGGCGGCGGTGGCATGGTTGAACGATGGAAGCGATGCCCAGTGTGCGTACAGGAGACAAGAGTCGTTACCCATCAGCGAGTAACAGCCGCAGGAAATAGTGACGCGGCTAGCTAACGGCAGGGCCTGCATTGTGTATTGTCCACTCAATAGCGTCCCACCCCTGCGGAGACAGGACAGCGGCCCCGCGCCGGGTTATCGGACGCGCGCGGTTGCGACGCGCTCACTCGTGACACTGCAAAGCCGGTCGGCAAAAATTCACGACGAGTGTTGAAGGGCGGCGGCGGCGGCCGCGTTTCACCTTTTTGGCGTTTGCCGAGATGGTGCTGGCCATGAGTCCTTCCAGGTAGCTGCCTAAGCTCACGCCCTTGACGGAAATGATGGCTTCCTGCACGAGCATCGTCCTGCACGCGCGCACACAGCACACGCACGCGTGTATAACAACAACGGGCGTTTGCCACCGAGTGGCGGTGACGTCACCACGGCGCTTGTGCCAAGCTAGGTGGACTTCTTGAGACCACGTGAAGTGTCGAAGGCCGCTGGCCGGAGGCATACCACACACACACACACACGGCAAGTACACAAAGCAAGCAGCAAACAGGCGGTGCGCTGTGCAGCACAGTGAAACGCAAAGTGTAAACACAGTCCATACACAGCACACGTACACACGGAACACGTGTATACGTACAGCAGGCGCGCAGCACACGCGTGTACAGCGCACATATACAAACCAAGCAGCATACACATTGTCTATAAGCAGCCCAGTGCAGCACAGTAAACAAAGCAGAGACAGCGCGCACACATACGGTACGCGCACAGCACACGTACAGCACAGCACACGTACAGCACACACGGTACACATGCAGCACACACGGTACGACCAGTGCACGCTCGTAGCGCAGAGAACGAGAAAGCGTAGCGCAGGCCGTTCGCCGAGCGCCGGGCTTACTTCTCGGCATCGTCCGGGTGCGGCTTGTACACAAGGCGCTCGTCCACCGACACGAGGTTCGTGAGCGTGATCTGCGGAGCAACAGCAACGGCAAAACAAATATGAACTATTTTTTTTTTATTTATAGCGGAAACGGCCCACCGAGCTGTACAGGCCTTTTCCAGAAGCAACCTGGCCACAAATGATAGCTCAATCAAGTGGCTTATCACGTGGAAATGTATAGCAGCAGCCAAATACTCTAAAAGCGGTGACGTTGAGTCTAAATGTGGAGGGCAAAAAACCGGAGGACCCGGAGAAAAATCCACGCGACGACTGGCAGAGAGAGAGAGAGACACGCAAACTGCAAATATACAACAGGCGTCAAGGGTTGGGATCGAACCCATGACGTCTTGTATACCTGGCGAGGGAGATCACATCTCGCCACAACCCGTCGGCTAACACGAGGGCGGAGCGCATACTACGTACCCCAGTACTGCTGTGTTCACAAGCGCCTCAGTGGGTTTAATTCTGTATCTCCGGGTTGTACGTCCTGGACCAGTTGAGCGATTTGTTTTTTTTTTAATCCATCAATGTAAAACCGTTAAAACATTTTCATGAATGAATCTATTTTCGTTTTAGATGTGACAATAATTAACATGTAATATTGAAAACTACATTTGTTGCGTGATCGATTGTTTTCGCCGGTGTGATTTTCTCCCTCGGAAATGTTTAGCCGATCGACAATAATCGAATTTCAACAAACACTGTTCCCACCGCTGCGATGGGAGATGATTTAAAAAAACTCACGTTTGTTGACTTTAACTCCATCGTCCTCTGGGTTGGGTTCACGATCGAATGTTCCTTGATGTAGGTTTTGGTTCTGCCCGTTCCTAAAAGCTGCAAAACAATAACACGTACGCTCACACTCCTGCACAATATATTCACCACAAGGCTTGCACCAGGCTGGGTGCACTTTGAATCTGTCGCATGTAAGCGTGGAAGCCTCTCGCTGCTGGCAGGAGGTCACACGGGACAGACCCAGCAGGTGCCACGGGGTGGACTGACTGGGATGACCGGCAGATGCACCACGTGTGCCCCCTACTGTGAAACTTGCTCTGTATTTAGTCGCCCAGTGCTCCGCTCGTTGTTGTGACCGTCGCTCCTCCGCCCTCCGCTATTGCTGAAGGGCGAATGCCTCCAGCCTGCCCAGCAGTGTCCTTCACGAGCCTCCTGCACAGAGGCCAATCTTGATACCGCCGGTGCCAGTTATCGGATTCCGCGCACGCACGCACACGACGTGTACTTACTGATCTCACGTGACGCGTACGTACTGATCTCACGTGACGCGTACGTACTGATCTCACGTGACGTGTACTTACTGATCTCACGTGACGCGTACGTACTGATCTCACGTGACGCGTACGTACTGATCTCACGTGACGTGTACGTACTGATCTCACGTGACGCGTACGTACTGATCTCACGTGACGTGTACCTACTGATCTCACGTGACGTGTACGTACTGATCTCACGTGACGCGTCCCCTACTGATCTCACGTGACGTGTACGTACTGATCTCACGTGACGCGTACGTACTGATCTCACGTGACGCGTACGTACTGATCTCACGTGACGTGTACCTACTGATCTCACGTGACGTGTACGTACTGATCTCACGTGACGCGTCCCCTACTGATCTCACGTGACGCGTACGTACTGATCTCACGTGACGCGTACGTACTGATCTCACGTGACGCGTCCCCTACTGATCTCACGTGACGCGTACCTACTGATCTCACGTGACGCGTACCTACTGATCTCACGTGACGTGTACTTACTGATCTCACGTGACGTGTACTTACTGATCTCACGTGACGTGTACCTACTGATCACGTGACGTCTATGCACTGATCTCACGTGACGTGTACCTACTGATCTCACGTGACGTGTACGTACTGATCTCACGTGACGTGTACTTACTGATCTCACGTGACGTGTACTTCCTGATCTCACGTGACGTGTACTTACTGATCTCACGTGACGTGTACTTACTGATCTCACGTGACGCGTACGTACTGATCTCACGTGACGTGTACTTACTGATCTCACGTGACGCGTACGTACTGATCTCACGTGACGTGTACTTACTGATCTCACGAGGCTGGGCAGGCCCCACTCGGTGCTGAGTAGACGGTGTGAGTGGAGCTGCCCGGCTGCGTCCACGTGTCGCCCCACCACGTCCACCCCCACGACGCTCGGGTTCATCGGGTTGGGGTATTTGCGCATGGCAGCCTGCGTCACCGTCTCCCACGGGTGGCTGCTCACACACGCGCAAAGACAAAGATCCCCCGTGTAGCCTTAACAGACCGTTGGGGCAAGTGCTGTTAGCGAGCGGCACCTATGAAGGCCGGCACACGAGGGGGTGGCTCCATTGACTACCCCCTGGCGTGCCGTGCCGGCCTTCATAGGCCTCATTTGGTTAAAATATTCGCCCCTGTTAATTGTAGTGAGCGGGAATCGAACTCAAGTTGCCGGGTTCGTAGAGCAGTGCGCTTACCACTGCACCACTGCTCTCCACCGACGGTCTCTTCCCGTGTGTCCCCGCGCATATACGGAGACAGACTCGCACATGTACACACATAGGCATGCACAGAGGCGCATACAAAGACAAAGATCCCACCGTAGAGCCTTAACAGACTGTTGGGGCAAGCGCTGTTAGCGAGCAGCACCTACCAAGGCCGGCACGGCACACGAGGGGGTGGGTGGCCAGCACCACGCCCTGCCGCCTTTGTATCCCCAGTGGCGATGTTTACTACGCACCGCACCAGGTACTCATTTCAGGCTGAGTCGACCTAGGGGAGGCCCAGTTTCAGATAATAATCACTGGTGTTGGCTGGGAGCGGGAATCGAACTCGGATCGCCGGGTTCGCAGCGCAGCTTAGCGCTAACCGCTGCGCCACCGCTCCCCCTGACCGCCGCGCACACAAACCCAGCATGGGCACAGCCAGGTCAAGGGACAGGCGAGTGGGGGGGGAGGCGCGGCGAGGGGGGTGGTGTCGTAATGGGAGAGGGTACAAGGGGTGGACATTCCATTAGGGCGAGGGGGGGGGGGCAAGGGGGGGGTGTATGGGGGGGGGGGGGATGGGTTGCGACCTTGGGGTGACCCTGTCCTCTTTTGACCCCTCGGCCCCTCCCGCCATCCTCCCATGTACCCCTCCCTCCCCCCCCGCCTCCTCCACCACCCCTCAAGACACCGGACCCCAATCACTGAGCCGCAACCGATTCGATTCGCTGTCGCGCGACGTATTTCGATTCGAGGATCGATGCCTTCACTAAAACGACCCCTAGCGCCTGCTGCCGAGGGCAAATGAGGGCCTGCGCTCAACGTTCCCACGACGTTCCCACGACGTTCCCACGAGCTCGCCCTGAACAATACCGTGGCCCTTTGGAAAGGACGAGGACAAATTAGGCGTCAACGTCCCTCAATAATAAAACAAACACCCGCGCAACAAATTTGTTCAATCCTCAATACGGATTTTTGATTTTGTGTGTCGTTAAACCCGCCACCACCACCCGACACGACCGATTAGTAAAGGTTTGTCACGTAAACAGAACGTGGCCAATTCGTTACTGGCACAGCGCACACCGCTGTGATGGAGAGTGAATCCACATTTACAATTTTCTCTACGCGATCTAACCCAAAAAAATATAAACATACATTTTGGATATTGCTCGCGACAGCCGAACGTGTTAAACCGACGTTCGTCAATAGCACAATCGTGGGCTTTAAAAGTGCACAATGACGGGGCGACGTTTCGGGCAATGGGACCCCCTTCAGTTCACTGCGTCAGACGGTTCGAAGGAATCGACGGAGATCGATTACGACAGAACGATTCGACGCCAACGGCCACATCGTTTCCCCGGTGATTCAACGATACGAAGCGTATCGACGCAAACGATTCCCGTCATTACGGCCGTAACGCCGCGTTGCTCGCGACGATAAAGCACCTCCAAGGCTCGTCGCTATCGCGATTATTATTATTGTGGTTGTGGTTACTGCCGCTTCCACGCAACGGCTGCGCGTGATGCTGCCAGCCACGAGAAGCCGCTACAACTAAAATAGATGTTTTAATGGTGGAATCGATTCGGTTTGACTGCGAATCGACGGCGGGAGATGGCGCGCGAGTGGTTGCGTCACTTTCCGTTATGACGCAACACCGGGCCCAGGGCGAGTGGGGGACTTCAAAGCCCCGGGAGAGACACTTGGACCCCTACAGGGGGGTCCTGTAGACCCCTACAGGACCCCCTGTAGACCCCTACAGGACCCCCTGTAGACCCCTACAGGACCCCCTGTAGACCCCTACAGGACCCCCTGTAGACCCCTACAGGGGGGTCCTGTAGACCCCTACAGGACCCCCCTGTAGACCCCTACAGGACCCCCTGTAGACCCCTACAGGACCCCCCTGTAGACCCCTACAGGACCCCCCTGTAGACCCCTACAGGGGGGTCCTGTAGACCCCTACAGGACCCCCCTGTAGACCCCTACAGGACCCCCCTGTAGACCCCTACAGCACCCCCTGTAGACCCCTACAGGACCCCCCTGTAGACCCCTACAGGACCCCCCTGTAGACCCCTACAGGACCCCCCTGTAGACCCCTACAGGACCCCCCTGTAGACCCCTACAGGACCCCCCTGTAGACCCCTACAGGACCCCCCTGCAGACCCCTACAGGACCCACCTATAGACCCCTACAGGACCCCCCGTATAGACCCCTACAGGACCCCCCTGTAGACCCACCCAGTCAGGACCCCGTCTCAAGGGGGTGTTATGATCCCTCACTTGAATATCCCTGCTTAACGTGACCCAGTACACCTCCCCCACAGATCCCCTATAGACGCCAGCAGTGAGATCCCCCTCAATTGTTAGACCAGCCATCGTCCGTGCACAGCCCTTTGCCTATCCACCGCTGGATGAGGCCCTGGGAAGGAAGTTCGTCATGCCCCTGTACAGTAGTCCTCCATATACTGTACCCATGGACCCCAATAGCCTCCTCAATTGCACACGCACCCTAATAGATCCCTGTTAAAACCCCCTATAAATATACACCCCTGAAGACCCGTCACGTGGACATACCCCCACGATGGACCGTTATAGAATCCCGTTTGACCCCTGCCCTACAAAGGCTTCTGTAAACAAAATCATTGTAAGACAATACCACCTCAATTTAACACATAGCCCTGTAGCCCCCTTACAGGCAGCCTGTACACCGCGTTCACGATGAGAATACATTACCCGCTAATCTCCCTGTGGACAGAGTTGGCGGGCGTGGGATCTTGTTAACTTGAACACGCACCCTGCGAGACCCCTGTAGGACCCCTGTAGGACCTTGACCCCCGACTCACTTGAACACACACACCCGAATGTGTTAGCCCCCTACGAGACCCCTGCAGGACCCCTGTAGGACCCCTGCCCCCCCGACTCACTTGAACACACACACCCCAGTGTTAGCCCCCTACGAGACCCCTGTAGGACCCCTGTAGGACCCCAGTAAAACCCCTGCCCCCCGACTCACTTGAACACACACACCCCAGTGTTAGCCCCCTACGAGACCCCTGTAGGACCCCTGTAGGACCCAGTAAAACCCCTGCTCCCCGACTCACTTGAACACACACACCCCAGTGTTAGCCCCCTACGAGACCCCTGTAGGACCCCTGTAGGACCACAGTAAAACCCCTGCCCCCCGACTCACTTGAACACACACACCCCAGTGTTAGCCCCCTACGAGACCCCTATAGGACCCCTGTAGGACCCCAGTAAAACCCCTGCCCCCCGACTCACTTGAACACACACACCCCAGTGTTAGCCCCCTACGAGACCCCTGTAGGACTCCTGTAGGACCCCAGTAAAACCCCTGCCCCTCGACTCACTTGAACACACACCCCAGTGTTAGCCCCCTACGAGACCCCTGTAGGACCCCTGTAGGACCCCAGTAAAACCCCTGCCCCCCGACTCACTTGAACACACACACCCCAGTGTTAGCCCCCTACGAGACCCCTGTAGGACCCCTGTAGGACCCCTGTAGGACCCCAGTAAAACCCCTGCCCCCCGACTCACTTGAACAAACACACCCCAGTGTTAGCCCCCTACGAGACCCCTGTAGGACCCCTGTAGGACCCCAGTAAAACCCCTGCCCCCCGACTCACTTGAACACACACACACCCCAGTGTTAGCCCCCTACGAGACCCCTGTAGGACCCCTGTAGGACCCCTGTAGGACCCCAGTAAAACCCCTGCCCCCCGACTCACTTGAACAAACACACCCCAGTGTTAGCCCCCTACGAGACCCCTGTAGGACCCCTGTAGGACCCCAGTAAAACCCCTGCCCCCGACTCACTTGAACACACACACCCCAGTGTTAGCCCCCTACGAGACCCCTGTAGGACCCCTGTAGGACCCCAGTAAAACCCCTGCCCCCCGACTCACTTGAACACACACACCCCAGTGTTAGCCCCCTACGAGACCCCTGTAGGACCCCTGTAGGACCCCAGTAAAACCCCTGCCCCCCGACTCACTTGAACACACACACACCCCAGTGTTAGCCCCCTACGAGACCCCTGTAGGACCCCTGTAGGACCCCTGTAGGACCCCTGCCCACCGACTCACTTGAACACATGTTCCGAGGTCCAGATCTTCATGGCGTCGCAGCTTCTTCTCCCGGCGTAGAGAGGGAGTGGGGGGGGGGCGCGCGCGCTTCCGCGGCACGTGACCTCGCGTCAAGGAGACAGCCGGCCCGCCAATGGGAAGAGTCGACGAGCGACCACGTGACGAGAGAGGGTGTGCATTAGTGGAGGGGCGAACGCCGGGGGATGACGTCACGAAATTGGAATGTGCCTCGTTATGCACCGCCCCCCCCGTGACGTCACGCCAACACGCACTCACACAAACGACCCTGGCGGTCAGGGGTCACTGCGGCAATGGGAGCCCAGGGGAACCCGGACACGATACTTTCGTTACTCTGCCACGTTACTTTCCATACTCTGACACGATACTTTCGTTACTCTGCCACGTTACTTTCCATACTCTGACACGATGCTTTCGTTACTCTGGCACGTTACTTTCCATACTCTGACACGATACTTTCGTTACTCTGCCACGTTACTTTCCATACTCTGACACAATGCTTTCGTTACTCTGTCACGTTACTTTCCATACTCTGACACGATACTTTCGTTACTCTACCACGTTACTTTCCATACTCTGACACGATACTTTCGTTACTCTGTCACGTTACTTTCCATACTCTGACACGATACTTTCGTTACTCTACCACGTTACTTTCCACACTCTGGCACGATACTTCCGTTACTCTGCCACGTTACTTTACATACTCTGACACTATACTTTCGTTACTCTGCCACGTTACTTTCCATACTCTGACACGATACTTTCGTTACTCTGCCACGTTACTTTCCATACTCTGACACGATACTTTCGTTACTCTGCCACGTTACTTTACATACTCTGGCACGTTACTTCAGTTACTCTGTCACGTTACTTTCCATACTCTGATACGATACTTTCGTTACTCTGCCACGTTACTTTTCATACTCTGACACGATACTCTCGTTACTCTGCCACATTACTTTCCATACTCTGACACGATACTCTCGTTACTCTGCCACGTTACTTCGGTTTATTTTAAACGATATTTCCACTACTCTGACGCGTTATTGTAGTAACTCTGCCACGTTACTTTCTATACGCTGGGACGATACTTTCGTTAGGGGCCGTCCATAGATGACGTCACGCGATTTTTGGACCCCCCCCCCCTCGTCACACGGCATCACAAAGTCAGACCCCCCCCCCTCAAATATGACGTCACAAAGCTCTGCCCCCCCCCCCCCAAAAAAAATAAAACATGCTACAAATCGCTTTAAACTATTGTCATTGTAGTGCGTATTTAATGTGGCGCTGCACTCTGATGTTGTAGGAGAAAACATTTATTACAAAGTCTATTTAATAACTAGAACGTGTTGTCTATATTTATTTAAAGTTGCGCATTTTGATGTGACGTCACATTTCTCAATCCCCTCCCCCGTCACACATCGTTACAAATGTCTGACAAGCCCCCCCCCCCCCCCCCCCCCCCCCCCAGGTGCGTGACGTCATTTATGGACGGCCCCTTACTCTGACAGGGTACTTCCGTCAGTTTAACACATAGGCTTTCGCGACCAATATCCATAATAGAGGTTTTATTGGGTTAGATCATGTAAATGTATAAATGTGTCGTTAAACCCGCCACCACCCGACACAGCCAACTAGTAAGGGTTGTCACGTAAACAGAACATGCCAATTCGTCACTAGTACAGCACACAAGGTGTGTTGGAGAGCCAAGCCACAACATTTACAATCTGAGTACGACGTTTCGCCAGTAATTACAACCAGCTTCATCAGGTGACAGCCAGATTTGTGAAGTCCACCTGTTTCGTTCCTTGTATAGAGGCGTACAGTCAGGGAAAAAAGTATTTGATCTCCTGCTGATTTTGTACGTTTATCCACTGACAAAGGAATGATCAGTCTATAATTTTAATGGTAGGTTTATTTGAACAGTGAGAGACAGAATAACAACAAAAAAATCCAGAAAAACGCATGTCAAAAATGTTATAAATTGATTTGCATTTTAATGAGGGAAATAAGTATTTTACCCCCTCTCAATCAGAAAGATTTCTGGCTCCAAGGTGTCTTTTATTTAGATAACGAGCTGAGATTAGGAGCACACTCTTAAAGGGAGTGCTCCTAATCTCAGCTTGTTACCTGTATAAAAGACACCTGTCCACAGAAGCAATCAATCAATCAGATTCCAAACTCTCCACCATGGCCAAGACCAAAGAGCTCTCCAAGGATGTCAGGGACAAGATTGTAGACCTACACAAGGCTGGAATGGGCTACAAGACCATTGCCAAGCAGCTTGGTGAGAAGGTGACAACATTTGGTGCGAGTATTCGCAAATGGAAGAAACACAAAAGAACTGTCAATCTCCCTCGGCCTGGGGCTCCATGCAAGATCTCACCTCGTGGAGTTGCAATGATCATGAGAACGGTGAGGAATCAGCCCAGAACTACACGGGAGCATCTTGTCAATGATCTCAAGGCAGCTGGAACCATAGTCACCAAGAAAACAATTGGTAACACACTACGCCGTGAAGGACTGAAATCCTGCAGCGCCCGCAAGGTCCCCCTGCTCAAGAAAGCACATATACATGCCCGTCTGAAGTTTGCCAATGAACATTTGAATGATTCATAGGACAACTGGGTGAAAGTGTCGTGGTCAGATGAGACCAAAATGGAGCTCTTTGGCATCAACTCAACTTGCCGTGTTTGGAGAAGGAGGAATGCTGCCTATGACCCCAAGAACACCATCCCCACCGTCAAACATGGAGGTGGAAACATTATGTTATGGGGGTGTTTTTCTGCTAAGGGGACAGGACAACTTCACCGCATCAAAGGGACGATGGACGGGGCCATGTACCGTCAAATCTTGGGTGAGAACCTCCTTCCCTCAGCCAGGGCATTGAAAATGGGTCGTGGATGGGTATTCCAGCATGACAATGACCCAAAACACACGGCTAAGGCAACAAAGGAGTGGCTCAAGAAGAAGCACATTAAGGTCCTGGAGTGGCCTAGCCAGTCTCCAGATCTTAATCCCATAGAAAATCTATGGAGGGAGCTGAAGATTCGAGTTGCCAAACGTCAGCCTCGAAACCTTAATGACTTGGAGAAGATCTGCAAAGAGGAGTGGGACAAAATCCCTCCTGAGATGTGTGCAAACCTGGTGGCCTACTACAAGAAACGTCTGACCTCTGTGATTGCCAACAAGGGTTTTGCCACCAAGTACTAAATCATGTTTTGCAGAGGGGTCAAATACTTATTTCCCTCATTAAAATGCAAATCAATTTATAACATTTTTGACATGCGTTTTTCTGGATTTTGTTGTTGTTATTCTGTCTCTCACTGTTCAAATAAACCTACCATTAAAATTATAGACTGATCATTTCTTTGTCAGTGGGCAAATACTTTTTTTCCTCACTGCAGATGTGGTGACCACACTTCTGCGGTCTTGCGCAAAGTGGGGGGGGGGATAAATGAGTCAACGTACATTATGCATGCACATTATGTGAGCCCAGTCCTTCTTCCTAGATTTGAGGTTTTCGTGACTGCAAAGATCCATACTCTTTGGTTCTTTCGGTAAAGTCACGTAGGTGAAAAAATTTAGAAAAAATAATATCATTAAAAAATGATTTCAATTTTTTATTTTAATTTTATTATTTTAATTTTATTTTTTCACCTACGTGACTTTACCGAAAGAACCAAAGAGTATACCAGTCCTTCATGTCTATTGTGTCTATAATGTGTGCATTACAATAGCCGTACCAACGGTAATCCCAATTAAAGTATGGTGGCCTGTATAGGCATGCATTTAAACTTTGTATTATTTGATGATTCTCTTCCACGCAGCACTAAGTCGGTAGCTATCCAAACGGTTAAAATTATTTTAATTTCTTTCAATTTCGATAAATTATCTCGTTAGTCTTGACCAGTAGTAGCTAGTTTTGCACAGATCTTCAACATCAAAATCAATTGAGTGTCCTTGTTGGCACACGTGTTCTGCTACTGCTTGCTGACAGTTGTATTTGGGAGACTTGAATATTTCTTGAGTTTTCTTTGTCTCATGCTGATCATTCGTCCTGTTTGCCCAACATAACATTTAACACACGTGCAGTTGATACTGTACACACCTTCTGTTGATAGTTTCGGTAATACATCTTTTGTAGCAGATTTTTTATTTCTGTATTTTATGTACCGTGACAAATCTGACTCGGATGTTTTGTTCTTACAAACATTTAGTTAGTTTATCAGTTACTCCCGCAATGTACGGTATTTTGATTGTTTGAATTACTTGGGCAGTTTCAAGGCTCGTGTTATTTGATTTGGTTTTGGCATTCAATGCCCTGTTGATTTGTGCATCATTGTAACCGTTCATTTGCAGCGCTTCTTTAACATGTTTAATTTCTCTTCTCAGACTGTCACCATCTGACACTTTCTTAGCCCGATCAGTGAGCGTCTTGATAAGAGCAGATTTCTGTGCAGAGTGATGGTGTGACTCAGCATTCAGATAGGCGTCAGTGTGCGTTTTCTTTCGGTAAACGCTGCGTGTTATTTTGCCATTTTGACCCCGTCCGAGCAGAATATCCAGAAATGTTAGAGTTATGTCAACGTCCCCTTCCATGATGAACTGGATAGATGGGTTTTGCGAGTTGAGATAATTTAGAAATTCGTTAAGTGTATCTTTGCCGTGTGGCCAGACCACCAATTGCTTGAAGCAATTGCTTTTAATCTTGATTTGAAGCTTTCGTAACTGCAGGAATCCATACTCTTTGGGTTCTTTCGGTAAAGTTACGTAGGCTATTGCTTTTGTTTATAGAAGTCACCTTTCCACAAGAAATAGGTGTTCTTCACTCTGCCATGTTATTTCGGTTAATTTTGAACGATACTTCCGTTACTCTGACGCGTTAGTGGCCGTTCATAAATGACGTCATGCACCTGGGGGGGGGTCAGACATTTGTGACGATGTGTGACGAGGGTGGTGGGGGGGGTTTGAGAAATGTGACGTCACATCAAAATGCGCAACTTTAAATAAATATAGGCAACACGTTCTACTTAATTAGACTTTTTGATAAATGTTTTCTCCTACAACATCAGAGTGCAGCATCACATTAAATACGCACTACAAAGACAATGGTTTAAAG